TGTTTCATTTATGATTAATCTTTTTTTTTTTTTTTACTTTTTTTTTTTTTTTTTTTTGGCATACTATGGGGGTACAGATGTCAAGGTTTCAATAAATGCCCATTTCCCCCCCTCCCCCCAAAAGTCTGAGTCTCCATCCTGACCATCCCCCAGATGGTGCACATCTCACTCATTATGCATGTATATACCCGCCCCCCTCCCCCCTCCCACCTCCCCAATACCCTATTACTGTAGCACCTGTGTGTCCACTTAGGTGCTACTCAGTTAATACCAGTTTGCTGGAGAATATATCTGGTGCTTGTTTTTCCATTCTTGGGATACTTCACTTAGTAGTATGGGTTCCAGCTCTAACCAGGAAAATATAAGATGTGCTATATCACCGTTGTTTCTTAGAGCTGAATAGTACTCCATGGTATACATTAATCTTTTAAAATATTTTTTAAAAAGTTGACAATTTTAATAGATAAAGTAAATATTAAAATGTGTAATACTGTACATTTCTAATATAGAAAGGTCCAGCAAGGCATTTAAACTGACTTCTTGGGTTTTGCATAGGCCATACGCATTTATTATACCCATATTTAAAAGCACCTGCCAACTCTGTACCTTAAAAATCAAACAAATGAAAAAAAAAACAGTAACAAAAATATAACCAACCAACTGGCATGAATATAGACGTTAATAAGATGTTGAGGCTATGCAAGACTATAGATAGCTCTGATAATTCCAGTTTTAAAACTTTTAAGTAAGCATCATCAACTGCCTTTATGATTAACAAATACATATTATATCCAATTATTAAATAAATGTGTACTAACAAAGAATTATTTTTAATTATTTTATATGTTGAGGTATCCTTAAGATTATTTAGAAATAAGTTACTCAGCTATAAAAGATAAAAGTACATGAAAAAGTACTTGTCAGGAATTTATTGAAATTGTTAATGATAAAAAGTTTTTTGTTAGATGACCACTTATTCATCCAACTCCATTGGGCATTTTATATATTTAAAAACAGTCGCAATCTTTTAGGAATTTGTGCTGTTTAAACACTTTGACGTACTGTATAGTTTAGATTTCTCATTTCATAAATGAAGAAATAGGGCCACTCTTAAAATGAAGTACAGACAGGCAGTGACAGAAAGAACTCAGGCAAACTAACAAGCGAGAAAAGAGGCACCACTTAGTTAGCCAGACCCGTAGGACCAAACTGTTCGCCTCGTGGGATGACATATGTCACGGGCAGATCACAGTCGCAGAGGTGAGAATTGATTGCCTAGAATCAGAGGTTGGTTATTAGCAGCACTAAGGCTCGAATTTCCTTAAAATGAGTTGCAAATGTTCCTGCACATGGGCAGTGAAGACATGAAATAATTGTGCTGTCAGAACTCCTTTTGTATTTGTCTGTGTGCATGTTTAGTGCAGGTGAAATTAGGAAGGGGACATTGAATGACCAGTTGGTGAGGCCATGCATGAGGCGCAGTGGGACAGGGGACACCAAGATGGGAGGGGGATTGTTTCTAATCCTAGGACTTTCTCTAAAGCCTCATAGTGTTGGACAAATTGCATCATACCTCTTAATTTATAGAAGTTTCCTCATAAAATTGAGAGGTATATATACTCTTTAATGACAGTTTAGCTTTGGAATTCTTTGATTCTATTGTTTTTTTTTTTTTTTTTTTTTTTTTTTTTTGATTAAGAAAATTGGGAAGGGGTTAAAAAAGTCACTAACTTGGATATTGTGACCCAGAAAATACTACCAAAGAGAAAGTCCAACTCCTCCTTGGTGCTTCTTACACCAACTGCCTCCTTGGTTGGGGTGTTGGGTATGGTGATGGTGTTGGGGGTGGCAGTGGTGATATCTCACAATAACTGTGGTCTCTTTCCTCGTAAGCATGCCCCTGCTCTATGCCTCTTCTTTTCTCCTACTGAATGTCTCTGCCGCCATATTGGTTTGTTAATACCGACGAGGTCTTTGGGAGGGTACCACAGTTCTCAGGTACTTGGTGGATGGCTGAAACCCACTGGCATTGTTCATCGAGAGGAGGGCTTTTTGGACTGAGAAATGGAAACGTAATGGTCAGAAGGGTTATATTTACTTGGGGAGGTGTGGACTGAGAGTGTGGCAGATTTGCTATCATAAGCCAGTGTCCTCTCCTATGGAAAATACCTGAAAACTGGAACCAGGGGTTTCAGACAGTAATGTCTATCTATACCTCTTTCCATCCATTTCCCAAGTAGAGAGAGGGCTTTGAACCTTTCTCTCCAGTCATCCTGCCAAGAGCTCTACAGAACATCATGCGTACTGCCATCCTTTCCCTCAATGGCCTGAGGGCACTTCCAGCTCTTCCTTTGGGTATGAGCTTCTTTTCAAGAAAGTTCCCAGAGGTGGATACTGTAGTGTAAATGTACCTGTGCACAAACATGTGTGTAAGTATGGGAGAAAGAGATGGCCTTGGGGTATCAAAAAAGCTCTTAAGTAATTCACTGACCAAACATATGAAGGGTTTATTTTATTGGAAATATTTACAGAAAAAAGTGTTTGTTAAAATCACCAGTAGATTGGGAAAGGATGGGATGACTGGGGTTCAGGACCAATGGCAATATAAACAATGTCTCCTTTTCTAAAAACCCAATAGCACCACCACCATCCCTACCAACAACAATCTCAATAGGTGAACAAGGAGGGTAACTGCACTTCTAACCTACAATTGCTGGGGGGCAGATGCCCTCTTCCTTTCCCTGCGGAATGGAGAATGTGCTCAGAATTTCAATGTGTCCAGACATTTTAATATTTTTCATAAACTTAAGTAGAAGTTGCTTAATTGAGTGCTTATAATGAGTCACACATCATTCTAAGTATTTTCCTTAGATTTAAACCTCACAACAATGCTAGGGGGGTAGGTCTGATTATTAGCTCCATTTTGCAGATGAGAAGACTGAGGCATACAATGGTTCAGCTACCTTCCTAAGATCAGATGGTGGCAGAGCTCCAGCTTTCATGTGGATATTCTTAACCACCGGGTAATACTGCGTCCCACAGTAGAAGTTACAGCCCCCTGAGTCCAGGAACCCAAGTGAAAAATGGTGTGAGGACAGGGATCTGAGAAGCTCATACAGGTGATGGGTGCACCATGCCAGTAATCGCCTCTGGTGCCCCTTGTGAGCCCCTCTTCTGAAAGACTTATATATGTGTGTGTAGATTTCTGATTTCCCTTAAGGGAGGTGTGCTGGTTTCTGTGTCACAGGTGAGAGCTTGGCAAATCTCAAAATGCTAGCCAGCCTCCAGTGGTGCATGCCTTGGCAGCTTGATTGCCCACATTCCTTCCTTTTAAGGCAACATTTCTGTTGGAGACCTTGCCTTGTCATGATTCCATCTAAATAAACATAGACTCTCCTGTGATATTCCCTCCCCTCAAAAGCATCCTTAACCTGGTTCTGCACAGGCTATGGCTCAACTGTAATAAAAGATAGAGGAGGTTTTCCAGAAATGGCTTTGTGGTGGAAGTGGCATGTGCCAAGCAGTGCTTCTAAAAGCTTCTCTGTTGTATATCAAAGGTTAAATGGAAGAGGCAGAGAGAGTGTGGTGAGACGCTATTGCAGTGGTTTGGAGGAGGCAGTTTTGACTCAATGCAGGATGGGAGTACACCCGTACTGGAGGGAAAGTTGTAAGAAACCCGAGTGCTCAGGAGGCAATGCCTTTGACTCCTGAGATCACCCTAAAAATGAGCTTAGTCCCTTTTCATCCTTTTCATCCCTTTTCATCCAGCTGTGTGTCCACCATGTGCTACTGAATATCAGCCTCCAGGGTGCTTTCTTCTCCCTAACTCTGTCCACACCATAGTCATGTCCCTTGGTTCTCTTAAGGCTATGCCCCTGGGATGGCTCTGCTGTCATTTGTCACTTCTATTGGGATATCATGTCCAGCTGTTGTATCTATCCCACACTGCAATGGTGAAAATAGCCTATGTTTGTTTCTTACTGATGTTGGAAAATTCCTCTCTTAGGCCTTCGACCAACCCAAGGTTGGTCCTTTGGCTTCTTGGAGATCCTTTCCTATGCTAATTTGTTTCTTAGGGTCTACTTTTCATCATGTGGCAATTTCTTCCCGCCATTATTATTCCCACCTGGGCTGACTTTCTTCTGCCTTCCTCTCTGGGGCGCTGTTGCACCCATTCAGCTAGAGGCCACAGCATCCCACAGTGGGGGAGACCAGTTAGTTGTTTCCAAAAGCTACAGCAAATATAGTTCAAATGTGATGTAACTGACATTTATGTTTATTTTCCCCTGTGCTCTGCTAATCCCTATTGCATATTTCACTGTTCTTCCCCTTATTGCTGAAAAATTGATAGTGTTCTTTTCTTTAATTTCCTGTTTTATACTTGGACAGCAGAACCGACTCTTTCAAACCCTTGATGGCAGCTGTTTTGGGGAGGAATAGACTGACAAATTCATATTTCTAAACATATACTCTGAATCCATTAAAAAAGACTAAGTACTGTAACATTCAGACCATTGGTTGGACGTAAAATCTTAATTATGAAACATGGTGAATATAAGGGATTAGTAAGAATGGAAACTTATGAAGAAGAGTTTTATATTGTCTTAAGTTTAATGCAGTTTCTGAATGGAATGCCCTTTTGTTTATTCTGCATAGCTCAAGAGAGACAAGTAATGACTTACTCTTACATTAGTCTCTCTCTCTCTCTCTTTCTCTCTCTCTCTCTCTCTCTCTCTCTCTCTCACACACACACACACACACACACACACCACACACCCACTTGTTCGTGTTCTCACCAGTGTCACACGCATGGCTGTTGATGTACTGAATGCCTCTTTGTTCTCTGAGGTCCAAGGAAAACTGCGTCAAACATATTCCTAAAAGGGGGATGCTTTTGAAGCCAAAATTATTAAAATTTTTCCTTTGTTCTTAAAATTTTTGTACACTGTAACATTTTTGGATCTGTTAAAAATAAACCTGCTCTCTTTTGTATTTTGTAGAAACTACCTCTTCAGGTTGAAGCTTGAGGATCTGTCTCTTATCCAGGTAGGTGCAATTTATTTTTCTCAAGCTTTGATTTTCCATCCCAATTAACTCACTGTTTGAGGGGACGGAGACAGATGTATGTAAAGGCATTAATCAAGACCAAACGGGGTTTCACGTGCTCAGAGGTTCAGGCTGCCGGACTGTCGGCTGCCCTGTTTGATATGCGTCAACTCCTTCTTTAATTCCCATTTTGCCTTTGCCTGCTGCCATGTGATCCTCTTCATTCCATAGGTGTGATCCTGATTTTCTCTTCCCCAGATGATAGACAGTTCGTGGAGCATTACCTCAAAGTCTGGTGGTGTTCCTTTCCCCACAGTTAATCACTGACTATTTGGTTTGATACATTCAGCCATCATATTCTGGTAAAACAGCTTTGTTTCCTCTTTATAATGTATAACTACATAAATATGAATATATGGGTTAAGAGCCACATAGAGCAAAGAATAAGTGATAATAGGTAAAAATGCAGTTTTTATATACTGCTGTTATTGCAGTTTGGAGAATGAACTTAATTAAGATCCTTGGCTTTAAGGGACTATTTGTTTTAGTGGCAGATCTGAATCACAAAACCCACTTTTGCACTGCTACCTTTTAGAAGGCTCTGGTAATTAGGGTCTCCTGGAGGAAGAAAGGGTTAAGACACAGACCTCTCTCTCACCACGATTCTGGAACTACTTGTGGTCTCCAGGGACCATGTGGAGTCCTTGGGCTGTGCATAGTTTGGTGGAAGTTCTTCAACCTATTTTAATACCATCTCATGCACTAGAGCACTAAGAAGTAGTTGGAGATAAGTTTATGTTATTTTATCCTCTCTGTAATGCTGGAACTTGTGAATATCTGGAAACTCTAAAGCTAGATTTTAATATTAGGTTTATTTGTTACTCATCAGGGGCTTCAAATAAGCCGATCCCACTACTAAAGGTAATATAAAACGCTAGGGCTTTGAAGACCGATAGGCCAGAATGTGTGATCCGGCTCCATGACTCCTAGTAATTGTTGGTTTCCTCATCTGTGAAATGGCCACAGATCGCCACCAACCCCATACTATCATGGCAAAAATTCAGTAAGACTTGCTAAAGAGATAAAGCATAGCAATTTCTCAACAAATATTTACTGTTTTTGAATTTTAAAAGTTCCAATAGTAAATGATCGCTCATAATAGTTTTATTATATCGTAATTGGCAATGAACTGTCTTTCTATTGAAATTTAGTATATAACTGGTGTCTTTGTTGTTGTTATTGTTGTTGTTGTTTTGAGATGGAGACTTGCTCTGTCACCCTGGGTAGGTACAGTGGCATCATCATAGCAGAGTGCAAACTCAAACTCTTGGCCTCAAGTGATCCTCCTGCCTAAGTAGCTGGGACTATAGGCATACACCATGATGCCTGTCTCATTTTTCTATTTTTAATAGAGATAGGGTCTTACTCTTGCTTAGGCTGGTCTTGAGCTCTGGAGTTCAAGCAGAGTGCTAGGATTACAGGCGTGAGCCACTACAGGCATGAGCACTCCTAGAGTGCTAGGATTACAGGCATGAGCCACTACTCCTGGCCTATAATTGTTGTCTTTAAATGAATTGGTTGATTGGTAAATTTATGAATTTCTTAATAAGAAATCAGAATGATCAGCAATTTGAGAATATTATGTTAAGAGAAATAAGCCAGGCACAGAAAGACAAATACTGCATGATCTCACTTATGTGTGGAAACTAAAGAAAAGACAAACTCTTAGAAGCAGGGAGTAGAATGGTGGTTATCAGCGAGTTGGGAGCTAGGGGAAAGTATTGGGGATGTCTTGGTCTAGGGATACAAAATTCCAGTTAGATGATAGGAATAAGTTGCTGAGATCAATTGTACAACATGGTGATTACTGTTAATATATTGTATTCTTGAAAATTGCTAAGAGAGTAAATTTCAAGTGTTCTTACCACAAAGAATAAGTATGTGAGATAATTCATATGTTAATTAGCTTGATTTAGCCATTCCACATGCATATATCAAAACATCATGTTGTATACCATCAATATATGCAGTTTTTATTTGTCAATTAAAGAAAGAGAAGAAATTTAATCAAAATACCATTTTAAAAATTATTGCATAAAATCTTTCATAAAAATATAGGTATCTTAATAAATAGAAAACACATATTTTGCTCATTTTGATTTTCATGGTATAATATATTATCTGTCATATTGTTTGTGTTAAAAAGTGGGTCATATAAAACATTAAGTTATCTTTCCTACCTGCCTTGCATTATATCCTAGATTTCATTGTTGCCTCTCATGCTTCTTGGGTTACTTATTGATTTATGCTACCCATGGAAAGCTATCAATAACAGTTTCATGTTTATACCAAAGAATTAAATCTGATCCTCAATATATGATATTTTGCCAGTACTTATACTGATAAGGGATTATTAGAAACCAGTCACAGAATTTGAAAATAAACAGTCTCTCTTTAGCTATTTGATGCTTTTCATAGAGGCCAAGAACTCACTGCAAAACATTTTTGCAAGTATGAATGCTTATATTTGGTCCAGGAACAATACATTTTATGTGAGTTTACAATTACCAGTAGTTTATTTTAAGGAAAAAGAAAAGCAACTGAGCATGAATTCACTGTCTTTAAAACAGTTTATGAAAATATATTATAAAGGTGTTTTTATTTTCCTGTTATTTTAAATATTGTACAGAGCTATTAGTAATGCCATTTTTTGGAAAACCTTAAAAATTGCCACAAATGTTGACATTTAAGTGAATCAAATAACAAAGTGTCTTTGGTATATTAAACTGTTGCTCTTCATGCATCTGTAATTTAATTTTCAAGTATAAAATTTTGCCTTTGGTACAACTAAATTAAAACTCTTGAGTAATAACATGATGTATATAAACAAAACAATATGCTTTGTTGGAGGAAAATTTCCTTTCTTGGAATGTGATTGTAGTCGTCCTTGTTCAGTTATTAAAGTTTTCGTTTTTGTTTTAGTTTTAAACAGGATGCAACCTAAAATTTCCTTTGCATCAAGGTGTATGCAAAACATTGATTTGCATATACATTGATTTGCATCATAAAATGAAGGTTTGTATTTGATGAAGAGGTGCTTCACACTGTACTTTTGGTGTTTTTTGGAAAAGTTACATTTAGATCTATTCTGAAGCTGTTCATTTTTAACAAATAAAATGTTATAGGTTTCACATGAAAAAAAAGTGGGTCATATAGATATGTGTGTGCACAGATATATGTTCACATGTATAGATTCATTTGTCTCCTAGTTTCTAACCTCTTCTGGCTGAGAGAGTCCAGAAGGATTGGCATTGCAGTAGCAATGAACACACTTAATGCACAGTACTTTGTTTGTAAATATAATTCTCTACTAAGAGGAACCAGAGAAATGGCTAATTCCAGGACTGATCAGGGAGAGACTCCGATAAGACTGGAGCATCTTGTTTCAGAAATTAAAGAAATATTGAAAGAAAGATAAGGGTATGTCAAAACGACCTAGGAACCAGCTGAAAGTGGGCTCACTGAAGAAATTTGGGACCATTTGTCTGTCAAGATAAATAATGATAGATTATAACATGTTAAATAAGAAGACATCTGTGAGTGTGCACAAACATATAAACTAAATGAATGAGTAAACAAATGAAGCAAAAGGGGCTGCTCTTTCTTACTATAAAATATCAATTAATTGATATTGAAGGAATGATTTAATTTGAAAACTTTCACTGGGGAACCGTTAGACAAAACTTGATTTAGGCAAAAATGATCGATGGATGTTAAAATGTGTAGGTCAGAGTTTGATGATAGCTGGGATATTTATATAGTATCAAAGTACTGACCTGTATAAGACTTATTAATTACAAGAGGAAAACTTGTAACTTGATAGTGAAGAAATACCCTATAATGCCAAATACCCTATAACCAAGTAGTTGAAAGTGACATCTGAGTAATGAGACAAAGTCCAGTGATTTAATGTACTTAGAAGGATGCAGAAAAATTTCCATGATATTCTGGCCAAAATTGTAACCAGTAACCTCATCATGAGGAACCATCGGATAAACTGAGGGGCATCCTAAAGCACTGGCCTCTTTAAATATCACAAAGTCACAAAAGGTATAAAAAAGAATGAAGAGTTATTCTATCATAATGGTGAACAAATAAATAACATGATGATCAAAGCAATACATGATCCAAACTGAATGTTGGAACAGAAAGTATTGTCTTGCTATAAGGGCATTATTGTAATAACTGGTAAAATTTGAATGTCTATATGTAAGATAGTAGAGATGTCTTAACATCAATTTATTGATTTTTATCACTGTAACATGGTTATGTAGAAGAAAATTATTGTCCTTTGGAAAAACCTACTGAAAAATATAGGAGTAAAAGGTATCATTTCTGCAACTTATTCTTAAGTGATTTAAAAATTACTATAATATATATAGATACATATACAGAAACTACACACAGATGTGCAGAGGAAAAAAATAAAGCAAATGTGATACAGGCGTAATCCAGATGAAGGGTTTATGACAATGTATAGTTATATGCTTATAAATTTTCTTGAAAATATGTCAAAATAAATATAAAAAATTCAGAGATGCATTTGCTGTTAGCACACATGTATATGATATTATTGTAAGACCCAGGAAACTAATTGCATGTTTTTGGTCATTGCTTCCCTTTGTTATGACTGCCTTTGGTGGAAGTCAGGTTTAGGTTATTGATGGAACTGAAGGGTTCTTGTTGGAGTTACGGAAAGCCGGCCAGCATCACCCCCTGGTGAGAGCGCGGTCTGCTTACATAGTAGGGCCAATCAAGAAGATAGTGACTTTCCCAATAGTGGCTTTGAAAACACAGCCCTGATAACAGATGTCAAATGTTGATGTACCATTGGTGCAAGGCAGTGCAACTTTCCTTTTACACATTCTGTAGTTGTGAGTACAGTTCTGTAGCCTACTGTTTACTTAGCCAGGAAAGAGATAAAGCTGGAAATTCTTCAT